GAGCTTAACGACTGGAACCGCATATATAAGTATACAAAAAAAAATAATGAGTGAGTATAATCAAAGTCAGACATATTTTAGGTGAATAAACCGTTATTAATCAAAATAAATTATGATTTATGTATTTGTTTCTTTTACCTACGTATAGTGAACTTGAAATACTTCAACAATTTGCTGACCAAAATCTCACTATAAACGTTTAACGCATGATTTTTATAACTTCAGAAAAGTTAATTGCAATTATTAATTTAAAATATTATTTTATTTATACTCAAATAATTTTATTGAGCTAATTTTCAATTTGGAAACTAAACAAATATTTTGTGTCTGTATTTCCATATAAACTGTTGTTGACTTAATTACAATAAATCGTTTATACAGTTTATACAAAAAATATTTTTCCATTTCAACACAATCACTTATATATATGGTTGTGCAAAACAGACGTATTTTATGCATAACCATGATTTTCCTATTGAGAAGAGGCTTTGAAATTTAAAATATTTGTAGTATTTGTAAATATATTCCTGTCATCAAAAAATATAAACCAAATCATTTATATAATATTTGATATTCCGATTGTTTTTTATTTTTATTTTATTATTCAAATTATGTAACACAAATAATAATAAGTGTTATATTGAGTATTATATATGGTAACTAATCGTATCATAAAACAATAAATAAATATTGCATAGAATAGAGGTAAAATCAATAAGAACATAGTCGCATAAATATGAGTGAAAATGTTGAAAGAAATAATAAAATATAATAATATATTCTTGTTGATTTATCGATATTGGATCGTTATATTTTACTAATTATTTTCTCAGTTTGATAAATATTAAATTATAACCAGAACAAAAGTGAGGTAAAAACATGACGATATTGAAAGTGAGATACGCGCTAGTTCTTCGTTCTGTCGTCTGTAGACCATGAATTGGAAATCTGTGTTCGGCTTCGGTGAAAAACAAGCGTCAAAATGAGATAAGAAAAAAAAAGTCGTATCCTACAAAAGCGCCAAAATCGTAGATATCTGTGAGCCTCGGTTAAATAACAGATATTAATTTGGGCTGAAATTCAGGTAGTGAGTTTATATGAACCACAAATGTAGCTGAATCATATCATCAAAATTTAAAAAATCAATTTTATGTGGCTCATTGTTATATTACATATAGTATATATTACCATATTAAATATAGTAATTGATATATTATTAAAATTACAAAGCGAAACATATTTATTTATGAACTCTCCTCATATCAATAAATTAAGGATAGCTCACGAAGAAATAATTGTTCAATGGAAGAAATAATAATGTGAATAAATCGTATAGAATACATGAAAAGAGTGAAATTAAAAAATCAACCAATTTATATATTATAATTTATTATATTTATATTGATTTGCACGTATATTATTATTTATTATCGACATAATAATATTAATATAATATATAATATAATTTTTATAAGATATAACAATTTTTAAATAACTACCTACCTACTTATATAAAATATTAATTTTGGCGCTTATGTCGTACAGCCGTTCGGCTTATATATTGCTTCTCTTCTTATTTATTATAAACATACCTATAATATGTTATTTTTAATACATTTTATTATTTTTTTTAAATACATTTTTTATTCTATTCTTAGTATGGCATATAAATCATTATCTATGTTAATATTAATTAGGTACATTGTACATTAATTTAATTATTCAGAACTATTAATTCACATGATAAAACATTAAAATACACTGTAAAAAACATAGTCAACACGTTATAAACAGTAGAAAAAAAAATTGTTATAAATTAGATAGTTTTAAGTTTGTATTGCAAGTGTTAATTAATTGTTTCAGTCGAGTTAGAATGTAAATTTTTAGTATATAATTTCAATTAAAAAATTGAATGGACAACATTTGGTTGTAGACTGTTTATTTATATTAATAACAATTATTCTTAAATTTTTTATATTAATTATCATGTAGCAATTTTCTGTACTGATCTTAATCATGTTAGATTGTATATTTTAGTATAGTTAACTTTAGTAACATCTAAGAGCACATTTTTAGTATTTAATAATACACCACCGTAGTAATTTAATACATCTCACGTATTTAGTCAATAATTAATTATTTTTATGAAACACCACAGATGAAAAGTATTAAAAATTAATGATTATTAAGTTATTATATAAAAGCGCCACGAAATTAATTTAATTTACGTTTTAATCCAATTTACCTACCAATTGTAACACTTATAATTTTTAACAGTTTCATTTTATTGATATAATAAAATATTTATAGTTACTGCATCGTGTTCAAGATTCTTTGATTATTTTTATCTAGAGCATAATTTGTTTACCAATCTTGCAATCGTGCGTGGATAGGAGTTGTAGGTAACCTGTAAGCCACATAATATTTTAAAACTCATTGTAAGTGTATTATTATTTTGACACTGTTGAATTATTAACACATCATTTCCAAATGATCCTTACCTATTGAATCCGCACAGCCGTAACTAGGATGAGGCGAGCGAGTCACTTGCTTTGATTGCTTGAAGCTGGGGGGGGGGCAAAAATATTAAACAATTAACTTATTTTAAGAAACGTTATTTTTTGTTTTGCTAGAAACCTAAATAAAATTTTTCAGATTTTTCCGAATCGTATTACACATATACATTAAAAGCTGTGAGTGTGATAACCCTACAACCTAGGGGGCGCTTGTTTCAGTTCTGTCTCAGGATACAAAATGGTTTGGTACGGCTCTATAAATCGGAATTCACGCTATGTGTAACTCTCACTGGTTTTTTTATACATAACCTCTATTTATTCTGTTTGTATCTTCGTAAATTTATTGTTTTACTTTTAATAGGTTCTTAAGTTATGAAATATCATAGTCGATGTGTAATTGGTGTTCGAATGGTGTGTTGATTAATATTTTTTTCTCTTGTTTCTCTACACAGCATTTTACTATTTGGAGGCCTGCAGAGTGTTAAGTTCATAGATTCATTGATTGTTAACAAAAAATTGACAAAGAGACTGCTCTTACACGTTCAATTATTGTGCCGAATAGATTTTTGATCGGTTTGATTTGGTTAAATTTGATGACCATAGATGGGTGCGCTAAATAAGTTTAAGTATCGGTTTGATGTATATTTTATACGTGTGTAATTGCATGTTGCATATTATTCGATGGTTGAATGTTATATTATTTTTGAGAACAATGGGCGTTATTCAGCTTCGCCATTGACGATTACATATTCTTTGGGTTGTTTTAAATCATAGCTCGTTGAATTATGTATATTCCTAGGTACTTGATTGCGCATCGGTTCAACATATACGAGAACGATTCTACGATCAAAAAGTCTGCGAGTGTCGTTCTATTTCTTCGCCGTGAGTATATAGATGCGTACGTAAACGTACGCACGTGCAATACACTTAAATACGTTTTACTCATGGGAATCTGAAAAGCGATCGGAAAATGATGGTTATACCGCACCGACTCACAGAGGTATGTGTTATGTAACGCGATAGAATGTGAACCATTTCTGCTGATTAAATAAGTATACGTTTTACCTGAACGGTTGCACAGAGAACGTACATGATACCTACTCGGGTTGCAATTTTTATCACGACTAATCTAACGAATACTACGGTGTTGTTTTTTCGTAAGCCCAACCGCAGTGCGCGTTATACTACAATCCCGATGACCTTGTAGGTGTGAAAAATAAATGGTCCACCCGTTATTGCCGCTCGCATTATAGCAACGCAAACGGTTCCTCAGAAACAAAAACGTCGCACTCGAGTACGTGTTAACGGAAAGGACGAAAATCTAGTCGTCTACGTCAATCACGTGGTGCAATGAGCGTTTCGCGTTGTTGCAGTTCGTCGTGCGTGTAGGTTAGCTTAGGTTTGGTCGCCGAGCACGGCGAACGGGCACGAAAACGGGTCCCGCGCGAACAGCACAGTTTAAAGCCGGGCTAACACGACGCGAATCTGATGCGCGGGGCAAGATTCGCGAGGCATCCGGTTCACCTTGGTACATGTATGCACGATATAATGCGATCTATGATGCGATACGATTCAGGGCGAGCCACAGCTTACGCGGGGCAACAGTATATCGATTTCGATCCACGGCGAGGCGAGACCATAGAAAAGAGATTAGGGCGAGACACTCAAAGAGGCAGTTCGCGCGACGCGAAACAAACGTGGCGAATCTCGTTTGACGCGCGTCCAAATACCGACAAACCGTCCGCTGGCCGCGAGGCATCCTCGCTTGACTCGCTTATTGCCCGACGCAAGTTCGCGATGAGATCGCGCGGGATTTGTTTTCACAAGTTCAGAACCATGTCGAATCTTGACTCGCGCATCGTGCTCAAGCGTGTAAAGCGTATAATGATTTAAAGCCTATATAGGCTTTATGTAACAATCGTCGGCCGTCGTCTACCGTTGCGCGCGGGTTAAGCGAACGAAAACGGGCATTGCGAAAAATCAGCCGCAACCCGCATCGTATCATCGACACGTCCGTGAGTCATCGGTTCGGTCGGACGGTCATTCGCGCGCGAACGCGAAACGGAACCGCTCGTAGGCGTGCGCACCTGTACTGCGCGGTACGGTACGGACGACGGGAGCGGCGGCACCTGCGTCGCGACGGAGATTAGTCACATCGGTCTCTCGCGGCGGTTCCGGGTTCCCGGCGTGCGTCGGCGACACGGTTTCCGGCCGCGCGCGCTCGCCGGATGACGCGCGGATTGTTTGCACGGCGAAAACGTAGCCGCCGTACGTCGACAACGAACCGCGTTACGTGTGCGGCCGTACCGTTATGCGCGCCGAATACGACGATAACAACGATAACAGTAACAACAACAGTACATCAACGGTACCTGTGTGTGCTTGTCGTGTCGTAGCGCAGTGTGTACGCGGCACGGCGACGCGACGCAATGCACGACAACAAAAAACCGCGTACGTGCGAATTCGAACGTATTGTATCGTACACAATACGCGCGTGCAGAAAATTTATATATATATATAAATAAAAATGGGATAAAAAAAAAAAAAAATTATCCGACTGGGACGTAGGCGTCGTTGTCGTGTGCAGATTCGTTCGGGCCGGCCGGGCAGGGGCGGTGAAGGTTGCCGAACGGAGGCGACAGTGGCCGCTGTCACGGTTCGCCGGGCGGCGACGGTGACGATGCCTTTGGAAGGAGAAGTCGAGGCCGCACCGGAGGTTTCTTTCTCTCGCGGCGGCTGTGCTCGATGACTGCAACAATAATAACCAGCGGCACACGACGCGGTGCAGCTCTACCGTTGTTGTCGTTGTTCGCGTTCACGTCGTCCCGTCCGCAGTTCTACGCAGTTTTTCGCGTTTCCCGTCGCCGTGCGTCTACGGCGGGATCACTGTCCGCGTACCGAAACGGTGTCCCCGCGGGCGACGCGAGCCTTTTCGCACGTTATTTTTTCGGACACGCGTCGCGCCGTTTTTTTCCTCCCCTCGACCGGATCGTTCCTTCCGCGAGTGACCGCGCAACATACGGCGGAAACCACATTACGGTACGTGTTGACGTGCGGATAGTTCGTGCCGGTAGCGCCGTCAACAGCCGTACGCCATCACAGAGACGTAACATATGTTCGGTGCGGCGACACGCCGGCGTCTCGTCACACGGCCATCGATGGCCGCCGCTACGCCGTGCTGTCGCGTGAAAAACGATTTCGGTTAATCCGCCGTAACAATACTCGACGACATGGCTGCAGCCGTAGCGACCGTGGCCACACCGACGGCCGACAACCGGTGCGTCGGCGGCGGCGGCGCCGGTGAAACGTCCGCCGCGATGATGCAGCCGCAAGTCGTGCCGCTGCCATCCAGTGCCATACCGGCGCTCAAGTCTTCGGCGGTGGCGTCTTCGGGGCGGCGGAAACGTGGCGACAAGAAGGTGGTTTCGCGGAGCTCGACCAGCAGCTGTTCGTCGTCGTCGTCATCGTCTTCGGACGAGGACGAGAATGGCGACGGCGGCCACGGGAACGTGGTCACGACACCGCCGATGGCCGTCAAGCGTCTCAAAGACCTGCAGCAGCACCTGGTCGATCTGGACGATTTGGAACTGTTGGACAGGCACCTGACGGCCACCGACGGCTTGTCCGACCAGGTCACCGTGGACGCGGACAACGCGGCCGGTATGGCCTCCGAGCTCAGGCAGAAGAACAAGGACCTGGTGTTGGCCGCCCGTTTGGGCAAGGCGCTGTTGGCCAAAAATGACGAACTCTCACTGATGAACGAACGGCTGGCCGAGGAATACGGTGACAAGCTCGAGGTGTGTACTGTTACCGTTGTATTACTGGCGCACTTATAACTAGTGCGATTTCCAGGGATTTTCTAGGGGTAATCCTAAACGGTGATCATTGTGTTCTTAGACGCATTTAGTTTGTGTCGTCCGTACAACGTCGATATCGTACCGGTTTGGTGTCGCGCTATCCGGAGAATCATTGTTGCTTACTCGTAATGGTACCAGGTTAAAAAAAAAAAAAAAAAATTACTTAATTTCAGGCCGTCGAGTCCACCCTTCCGGGGGCACACGTTCGGCCCGGTGTGCCCCGGTTACGTTAGGCCTTCGCCGCGGCGTTACCCGCACTTCCGGGTGTACCGCATGCGCACGAGATGACGGCCGTTGTTCGGTCGTTGTTCGTACGCAGTTTCCGCGTTTACCCGCGGCCGCGGACAAAAACGCATCGGCGGCGCGCGCGGACAACGGTGCGCGGCCCCCGGGGCGACCGACGGCACTCGGCGGACCGGTCGCTTTTGTCGTCCCGTTCTCGTGTGCGCACTGCGCCGTGCGTACGGCCGGCGACACGCGCGCGTGAATAAAACGATTAATTTGCTCATTCCCGTGTAAACGCCGCCGTACCGTGCCGAAACAATGCAACAACTACGTAGTAGTTCTTCGGCTACAGTAATTCGCTACAAATGGATACGCACATATATATATATATATATATATATATTGTACGCGTTTGTATTTCACTATATGGCAGTATTTCTCTGTGTTCTTATTATTTTCGAGTCGCGAGCGCAGTTGCCGCCGTTTCCACTGCCGAGGCCGCAGCCGTACGTACGGCCGCCGCCGTCACGCTCTCACTCTTCCAACTCGACGCGGTGGTGGCGGGGGCACCGCAATACTGTTGTCGCCGGAGACGCGCGTAAAAACGCCTCGACCTACGGAATCGGTGGCGGCTGCTACCGATGTTGCGGCCAAGTGAAAGCGTACTCGGCCTCTGCCACCACCACCACCACCACCACCACCCGACCGTCGCTACAGCTATTGTTGTTGCACTGTCAGTTTTCCGCTGTTGTTAGTGTTACGTGTTTACGTGTACACGAGGGCCCGATCAAAAAGTTCCGGGACTTTCTTCATATCTATTCATTTTTAACGGTTAAAAATTACAAAAACCGTTAAAGTACTACTCCCGTTGGACGGCAATTACACTTCTACCATTATCTCCGTACATCGTATATATTTGGTGGCCTACACATGATATACGATCCGTCTCCCCCCAACCAAGCGCCCCCCTCCCCGGCTAATTCGCACTGTTCTTTCACCCTCGTTTTGCCCGCTGCGCGTGTTTGACGATTTTTGCTAATTGGAACAGCAACAACAACAACGGCGACAACGAGACCGTTCGTAACGCGAACGCCCCCGTTTCGAGTGTGGACAATGGCATGTAATGGACCAAGGTCTCCACGGTTGGGAGTCTGGCGTTGTACACAACGTTGCGGTGGCGCGGCTAGATCTCGCGTTCGCCTGGCGCGCGCGTTGCCCTGCGAGGACGGCGAAAGGGTGCACACCACGCGCTGACGTAATCGCGATTGCCCTTCGCGCGGTACCTGTTATTACGGTTTGCGTTTAGCGGCCTGTCCCAATTGTGAAAGGCCGAACGTACCGCGATTTTCAAAACCGTATTGTTACCACAACCAAAACGTTACAATGGTGTTATGCGCGACGCGTGATATCGTGTGCACAACGTTTACCGAGGAAGGAGGCAGCGCCGATGACGCGCGCGCGACGAAAATATGTGTGTCAATCGAGTTTTCGTCGATGTCGGTGATTTTTTTTTACACGTACCGACCACTATACTCGTACGTACACGGCGAACAGAACGGCTTGGGGGTCACAACGCCGCATACCGCCGCACCATGCGCGTATATCCTGAAAACCGAGAATAATTGATTGAGAATTCTCAAAAGCATGATGCATAACCTTATGCCGAACGATAAAAGAACTTGAAATTATTTCTTATCTGTTCGTACTCAAGTGCGACTTAAAATAAATACGGTGTTAGTTGTCATTGTTGACAAACTGTTCATCGCTGAAATATCATTATGTTTCCAGCGATGTAACTTATATATTAACATTTATAATACATCCATAGTATTATATGGTTTGAATTTGTTTTACTTTATGATAGACCAGTTTGTGTATATTACGCAGTATTATAACGTCTATAGAATTTACTTAATTCAAACTAGAGTAGATAGTGTTCATACTAATAATAAATACACGTCAGTGTTGATTTATATATATAAAAAAATACATTAAATAGTAGTTTAACTTCGTTTATGGTGTGGTCTCAATCGACCTATTGTTTATTCGGTATTTACAAAACCTTAGATGGCCAATTCTAGGTTCAAAAAATTAAACACAACATTTACATATTGTCAACATTTAAAATGTTTTTATTTCGAACTTCACCGATCATTACTATCTGTATACTTATTAAATGTTATAAGTGGAAATAATTATTAAATATGTAAATAAAATAATTATTAAATTTAAAAATAAATACATTTTTAGCTAGGTTAAAAAAAAGATAAATTTGTTTTATTCTATGAAGTCTAACTTTTTAAGAATAGGTACACCTTTAACATTAGTATGCTAGTTAGTATTTAAATATTACTTAAACACCGGATTTATTTATGATTTATTATTAATGTTGTTAGAAGACATTTTTATTATTCAGTAATTAATAAATATAAATGAATAAACATTTTAAAAAGTAATATAAGTCTAATAGTATAAATATAATTTAGTAAAATATTTTATACATGTCAACATGTCATACAAAACATTAAATAGTGATTGTTGCGTACCTTTATAACAATTTTAGTACGTATTTAAATGTATATTAGTAGACAGAATTATTATTTGGTAAAATACCTGTTACATCATGTATACTATATAAACATTAAATAAAAAAACACTTTATTTGATATTAAAAATATTAATTTAAACGCATTTAAGTAGGTTAGGTCTGACTGAGTCACTTTTCCATTAATTTACCAGCTCACCACTTACCAACGTAATGTAACAATAACATTTACTCTATATTCGAGCATTACATCCCGGGCTTCTAACGAAAAATAATAACATTATTATGTAATTTTTGTTACCGGGATTATTTAAGAATTCAAATTTCAAATATTAACAAGTTGGCAATATAAATTCGTATTTTCTTTTCTTTTGTGTACAGATGAATTTATCTAAATAAATAGGTTTTTTTATCTAAGATAATTTTTTAAATAACTTGCAACTATTTATCTAGATAAAATAAATATAACTAAATATTTATCTAGATAAGTCACAACACTGTTTATTGAGTACTAATAATAATTAAAGAATATTCGTGAAAATACATTTTAATTGTATATGATGATAAAATATTAAATAAAGCGATTACTTTATTAAATTTATACACACGCATAATAAATATAAATACATCAGTCATAACAGGGACAATCATCCTCGATTTTTATATTACATTTTAATTGTGATCCCTTGAGAATATGTACGAGTAGTAAATTATTTTTTCATGCTAAGTAATTTTTTTTTATACCCACATATTCAACCTTTACTGATAAACGGTGTTTATAAATCCTTGAATATATCGTGTGTGAGTCACATAAACTAAATATGTATATATGTAAATATATATCATGATAAATATGTCAGTCACCAGTAAAATCTAAAGTGTATACTTACAGTGTTTAACCATAACTATCGAGCAATAATCGTAACATATACTTTCAACTGAATATACCTATATGACTTTAGTGGCTATACGATTAAACATCACCTGTATGATGTTGGACGACCGATGAGTAATAATTACATTTTTTTATCCCTTTCTCTTTCTGTCCTTGACATTTGATAATGAAGCACTGCTATTGAAAATTTTAACCACAACGTGGTTATATTAGTAAACATTGATATGTGTGCCACTGATTTGGCGGTAGATTCATGGCGACCTCCACACGAACTCAAATTCTTATACGAATATAACGATCGCTTCCGTTTTTGTTTTCAAGGAAATCGAACAGGACCGACATCGGTTACGCAGACAGTTGGCTCAGGCCCGAGCTGAATGCGAGCAACGGTGTCACGAACTACAGGCCGATCTCAAAGACCTGCAAGCAGTTCTCGACAGCCGAGAACGTCAGCTCCGCGAAGCTGACAAACAGAAACGGGCTGTGGTGCGAGAGCTAACGGACCAAAATGGCAGGTTGCAGTCGCACATCAGAGAGGTTTGTACTTGGTCATCAACTGAAATGACAACTAATAACAGGTTTCACGAACACACATTTTGTATAATATTTTGTCCTACAGAAAAAAATGTAATCAGCCGACATTGCATATTCATTTCCAAATGTTACTATTAACCGTTAACGATAAATGTTCAATCTCTTTACATATGATTTCTTATCGATTTGATATTTGTTTTTTGTGTCCATCAATTACGTTCAACTCCACCTTTTGCTCTACCGGTTCAATAACAATAATAGCACACATCTCTGAGTAGTTCGTACAGTCCCTTAATTTAAAAAAAAGTGCTCTTATACGATGTGTTACAATAAGTCAGTGACATTAATTCGACCAAATTTTTCGAACAGTTATCCCAAGCAGAAGCAGAACTTCGACACAAGTGTCGTCTGCTGGAGGACACGCAACAGTCACAGCATACCAGTGGTAAGTGGAACGGCGTCGGAGGAACCGGATCGCCCGCGTCCATCACTAACGGCGGGTCTACGACCGACTATGGGTCGCTCACTCCCGACGACTATCGGAGCTTGGATGTGTTGCGTGACGAGGTAAATGCATTAGTCATATTTTTCTCTCTGGTGAACAGTAAATAAAACACTCATAAATTATAGTTTATTTAATTTGAGTATCACGACAATCGAGAGTGTTGGTGATTGATCGAATATATTATGATGGTTTTGGCGATTAATCCAACAATCGATTGTTATTAATTATAAACCGATTATAAAAATAGGGAAAACAAATAATTCAAAATACTTTTGAATAAACAGTGGCGTAATAAAAAGAGAATTTGTATGTTTAGAATCTGGATTATATATTTTACATGATTACATTTCATAAAGTAAATAACATACTTAAGTGCTGATGTAAATTGTTCATTATTTATCGCGAAATATTTTACAATTTATCCAACAAAAACAAACATTAAATAAAACACACGTAACGGAAATACCAACGCCAAACAGCATAAAGATGTTGATAGATACATCTAACTGTAAATATTAGAAAATATCTACGTATTGATGACGGTTATCGTCCAACGCAAAATATTTATTTCAGATACATTCTGGCGAATTAAATATTTCAACAGAAAGCATAGATATGAATTCCTTTCATGCTAAAATTAGTTTACAGAAATATAGACGATTACAAAATAAATTATAAAATATAACATAAATATTATCAGTTCTCTTCCGACAACTGGAAATATAGCAGTATCAGAAATGGACAATATTTACACAAAGACATTTAGTTAACATTTAAATGCTTAACAAATAAATATACTTGTTAATCAGATAACCATATATGCTACAATTATCTGTTAAAATACTATATGTTATAAAATTCTTAATCTTTTGTCGTAGCTCATGTAAAGAGAAAAATATGAAAACAAATATACTTACTATACACACATAGGTATCAAAAAATAGCAGTTGGTTATAGCACAATTTTCCATAATATTTAATTTGTTAGTCATCACATAATATTTTACGGTACATGAATCCCACTCAAAAATGTCTATATAGTTGCGCCACTATTACAATCAATATAGAATTATGTGATTCAATGTGTTTTATTTTACTTATTTTCTCTTTTTATTCTGAATTATAGTTAATTTTTTCTAATAATAAAAGTCAATAGGTACTCATCCGATAAATTAAAAATATTATTATTATGAACGGAATATGAGATATTTTTTTTTTCATAAATTACCATGTAATAATAGTATTATTATTATTATTATAACTTAATACTAGCCAAATATCAAATAATATTTATACGTGTTGGAAAAAACGTCGTGTCATAACTACACTATATATGAAACGGACGATGATGTTGGACGATTTTCTAGATCGATATGAAAGCAGCCGAGAAACAACGGTTGCAGAAAAGGATGACCGAGTTACGGGCCGATCGGGATCGGTTAGCCGAACTTCTAGAGCTGAAAGATCGCCAGCTGGCCGAGTGTCGGGCTGAGGCGACGCATTATGAGCACAGGTCAGGTATACAGCAGTTAAATACTCGAATGTGGGAGCGGGCGATTGTATACTGTACACCAGGTGTCACCAATTTATATTTTTGGAAGGCCAAATTGTATATTTTGACCATTTTCGGGAGCCATCAAAATTCCAAGCAAATATATTTATTAAAATGCAAAAAAATGTTTGGAAATTATATATATTAAGTCCCATAACGACGTGTTTAACATTGAAAACATTAAAAAACAACTACGTCTGGTAGTAAATCGAAATTAAAACAACGAAGTAAGTAATAACGAAATACAACAGGAATCAAGTCGAAGCGAGACGGCGGTAATTGACGAACTGTCGTTGATGTGTAATCGGCAGGGCTCGAGACTTGTAGCATTTGCATATTTTTTTGTAGTTTATGAAAAGATAGCAGAGTAAGCAATAAATCCATTTCAGACAAAAATGAACTCAATACTAAAAGTTTTTAGTGCATATTTTTGCATATTCTAGAGGTTTTACTATTTTTTCGACTATTTTGCTATTTATTGCTAATTAATGTAAAAATCGAAAACTCAGTCCTGCAAAAATACATATTTCGATCACTTATCAGTGATCAACAGTTTTGGGAAAATATAAAACTCATTGTCGTTGAAAAAAATATTCCTAAAATATTCCAATGCAAGTTAATATTGTGTTTATCGTATCTTTTATCTTAATGTTGTTGTTGTACAAAACATTATTTAGCAATAACAGATCTTTCAAGTTTGAAAATAATCAGAAACACATAATAATACAGTGCAATTATGAAGGTACAAACTGTAAATTACTTTTTAATGATTTATTGATTTGAAATAATTATATTTTACAGATTGGCAAAATTCGACACATACAAATTAATGAGAATAGGAAAGATTTTTTAGTCATTAATTGTAGAAAATTATAACTGTAAAATTATATAAAAATTTTTCTTTAAATTTTAAAAATTATAAATTCATAAATGTCTAAATAAAAATTTTAAATAAATTATTTTTAAAGCATATTTTCATATTTTTAGTGCATATTATAGCGCATATTTTACATTTTTTCGGTGCATATAATAGCGCATATTTCAGATTTATTAGTGCTATAAGTCTCGAGCCCTGGTAATCGGCATATTGCATAGACGGTCAAACTTAAAGATATGAGCGATACGATATGCTTGGCAACAAGTTTATTATCTGATTTTTTTCCTTGTCTGTTACCATAATTTGGTAACCGCTGTTCTACACCGTGTACCTTATACAATCGCGATAAAATAAACGGGCAAGACCCCTAGGTCGGGCGAGACTCTCAATTTGATAATATTTTTATTCATATATTAGTCAGCCATGTTGGCCAAGCAGCTGGACGACGCACTTTGCTCGAGCGGCACCGGCGACTGGAGAGGACGAGCTGGTAAATGCGCATCGTGCCATGCGTCCGGAGGAACGGTCAGGGCCACGACGTCCCGGACGGACGGCACCGAGTCGCAGCCCATGTCGCTGTTGGCCGAACTGGAACAGGCCGAGGCGGCCCATTCTCAGGCGTCCGGAGCATCGCCGGAGATGGTCGACGTGGACCTGACCGAGCACCGGACGAACGGTCTCGCTCAACTGGAAGTGGACGTCGAACGGTGGGCTGTGCGACTGTGCGACGTGCTGGAGCGTCAGAGGCACGTGGAAGCGGGCTCGCAGCCGCTGGAGCTGTCGGCGGACACCCGGTACCGTTTGCTGAAGCTGATCAGCAGTGGCGACGACGGCAAGCCCGCTGGTTCCACCGACCTAGCGGAGCTGGTCCGCAACCGAGACGGCCGAGTAGCCGAACTCACGTGCGAGGTACACGTCGTCGTTTTTATAATAAGCGTCACACAGTGGTCTCAAACATTACCTTAGCTCGCAAAAATTAAGATTTTTTTAATTTTAAGTACAACATTAATTATTTTAATCTAATTATTAAACATTAATTGCTATTAGAAATCCATCTATGTCCTCACTACTATATACTATTATTATAAAAAGATAAGGTTTGTGAGGTTGTAGGGGGTAATATCTGGATTTACTAAACCGATTTCGAAAATTATTTTATCAATAGAAAACCACATTATTTGTGAATACCGTTGGCTATATATTAACCCGGAAAATGAAAAGACTCTTTCGTCATAATCAAATTTGTTTAGTAAGTCGGAGAAAAAATGGTTAAATTAAAACGTTTCTTACGAATGCTACCTTAACGATTGAAGATATATTATTGAGTTTTAGAGAAAAATTTTAGAGTTTGATAATGCCTACAAAAAAGTCAGCGACAGCATATGTCTAACTTTTATATTTAGGTCATAAAACCTAACATTTTCCTCGTAAAAGATTAAATAAATCTTCATTAGTGAAATTGATTCTCTTAATATTACTACTAGAAGAAGCTAAAATAAAATATTGTGAGAACTCCGTGGGCAAATAAAAACAAATAAAAGTTATTCAAATAAAATAACCAGTTTTTAAGGTATATTAAATAAATTTTGTTTCGTAGTTAATATTAGTTAATTATTAATTAAACCGTTTTTAAGTAAATATAATACCTACATAAATTAAAATCAAACTGAGAAATCTTAAACTGCTATTTACGTACTCAAAAAATTATTATGTTTAAAAAATTTCACTTACCTTCAACATTGACCTCCGTGTTAAAATATATTGGCATAAAAAATTCCAACAATTCACTCAAAACGACGGTCAGTGAAAAAATTAACAAATACGATATAGGCATGTCCAATGTGTGTACAATAAAAGCTACACTTCCAATGTGTGTACAATAAGAGCTACACTTTGTGTTATCTTAAGCACCTTTTATCGAGTTCATACACAGAATTATTAAATTATGGTACGTTTATCTTATCGTTAAAATATGTCATACAAGAAATTTATGTTAAATTACATAATTCAACAAAAATTTAAAATTAAGTTTTGGCAAGCTAAATTGATGTTTAGGACCATTGTTCGTTGTTTGACTGCAGCAGTGCTTCTAAAACCGGGAGCCGCATCCCCCTAGGAGGCCGTGAAATATTTATTTTTATCTAAGCTATTTTCTTGGGTCTTAATTTATTTCTATTTTTAAATGTATAAAGTTTAATACTATAATGAAATGTTTTCAATAGCTTATTAATAAACATTAATTTAATATACATATAAATAGTTAAGCTGTGTAAAATAGTATATTTAATTTTAATATAAAATTAATGATTTTGATTGAGGGAGCTTTGACAGTATTACATTATATTTAGGGGGCCCCATGATAAGAAAATATGAGAAGCATTGGATTATAGCACATTTTCCCAACTTTTTTTTTCATTTACATATCCGTTGACCGCATTCACGAGAATTTCGTATAACTCACACCGGTTTGGGTGACCTTTTTATTTGTTTTTTTTCGTTGGTATTATTATCGTGTAATTGTTATAGAATTATAACACCGGTTTTTATTTGTATCAAATCTCATAGTAATTAATTCGAATAAATTATTTATAAACATTACACGTTGTAAATTATCATTGTTAATTGTATACTTCCGAAACGAACTGTTTTAAACAAATCGAATTCTAAATTTTTCCGCCAACACCAATTTTTTTAATATGTTTTATATGTTTATCTCTAACGTTTCACATAGCACTTGTTGGAAACACATGAACCGAAGTGTATAACATCCACGCGCATCGACCGATCGTCGTATAAACTTATGGGACTGCGGAGGGATTTTTATTTTTTATTTCTTACGTTTACCTATACAGTTGTCGGTGAGGGACGCGGAGCTGCAGGCGGCCCGCGAGGAACGGGATATCGCGGTGCGCGACAAAATGGACGCCATGCGAATCCAATGCGTGCGGTGCAGTGACGGAGCCGAAGCGAACGGGGCGAACGCCGACGGGTGCGGCGCGGACGAGAAGAACGCGTCGCTGATCCCGGAACTGCTGAGGAAGGCGTGGGAACAGCGGGACGGCGCGGTGAGGCGGAAGAACGCGGTGCAGGTGCAGTTGGCCCGGACCCGGGTGGACGTGTTGCAGGCCAACGGTCAGCTGATGGAGGCCATCGGTCAGAAGGTGGAGCTGAGCCAGCAGCTGGAACAGTGGCAGGTCAGTGGTCGTGCGCGTCCGTGCGTGTGCGTGACACTGTCTGTAACGTGACACTTTTGTGCTTACAGATGGACATGCAAGCGCTACTGGACGAGCAGATGCGCAGAAAGCTTTTGGCTCCGCCGGCGCACGGGACGGGTGCCGGCGCGCTGGAATACGGCGGGGGCGGAGGGAACCAGCAAAAGTGCTCCGGCGGAACGGCGACAAACGGCGGTGGATTCCCGTCCATGACGGCTTCGAGTTTGGGAAGTCTCGGGTCGTCGGGTCTGATGAACTCGCTGCTGATGATCGCCGGCGGCGGGGGGAACTCGAACAGATGAGACGAGTCGGCGACACGCGGCAAAAGTCCACGAGAATCGTTCGCGTTAAGTTTGTTTTTGGTCCGTTTCGTTTTTATGTAAAACAAGTCCAAACGAATCGGTAATCCTTCGCGAGATCCCGGGTATGCAATACGTACCGACGTTTTTATTTTTTATTCTTTTGTTTTTATCGAAAGTTGTTTTTTTTTTTTTTTTTTCATTCCGTGTCCAATTATATGAACTCCGTAATTGTCCAACGCAAGACACCGTAATATCATAAGCAATCTTACGCAATACACGGGGCTAATAGTTGGTAATCGGACGAGAAACGTGCACGACGGATAATGTACGTGTGATTTATTGTTGAAAACTGTACGCATGAAAGCGATGCAGTGCTGATTTTATCGTACGGGATCTTAATGATATTTATACATGTATTTCGTTATTCCGTTGCGCGACAAAGACGAGTACAAAATAGTTATATAGCGTATAAGAGTTACCTCACACTTGCACACTTGCAATATTGAATATTGATATGTTCGAAGCAGAGAAGTCATAGGATTTGTCCAATTTATAGCTTAAGATGGTTATTGCCGTTCGTCCGAAGGTTTGGACATTTTAACTTCGGTTGCCGGGCACATATTTCACGATCTAGGTTAAATTATCTTGTTCAATTGTTGTACGCATAACACTTTTGTGCAATTATTTGTTTAGAAACCGACAAACAATGCTGTTGGTTTATGAATGGACAGACACTCGTTCACTGTGAGATTTCTAAATTATCAAGTCTTAAACAGACATGTCGGATTTTATTTTAAAAACTCCTACTTGTAATTACTTGAGCATAAATACAAACATTTTCCATAGGTATTTGTAGGGTGGCCAGATATAAAACTAAAAAAATGCGGGACCATGATAAAGGTTAATTTTTTTATTATGCATAACAGAATAAACATTTATTTTTAATGAAATACCAAAATACTTTATGTCTTAATAGTCATTGGTAAACTAAATAATGAAATTTTCATCAGTGTTTTTTTTGCATATTTTTCACTTTCTCTTAAAACAGTTTTAACATGTTCTATTGATTCACTTAAATCGCATTTTGCTGACTGCAATACCTTACATAATGGTAAAATTATTGACAGGTGTTGTCGCAGTTATCATACTTATAATAAATCCACTAGTTGTTACAAACTTACATAACTGTAAAGCTTTAGATTATTTTTCAATGTCTACAAATAATTGTAATTATTCTATTGTTGCTACAATAGGTTTATATATTTCTAAAAATCTTAACATACCATCTTGATTTTCAACGCATCTAGGCTTACACATGGAAGTTAATTTAGTCCATTTAGTTTGAGGTATAAATTCTTATTTTTTAAAAATTTCAAAACGATTTTTAAATTCGGAGTGTCTCCATTAATATCTACAATTTGAAAATATAAGTATATTTTTCATTTTAAAATTTCATGTGTTAAAAGATTCAACCTTTTGATTTTTTTGATAATTTATTAAGAATGGTTATTCGACGTGTGTGTTGAAAGAGTAATAAATTTACATTTAGACAATTCATTTTTTAACATTTCGTTGGCATATGGAAATGTCTTTTATTTTTTATTATTTATGTTGTTTCTGTTTTGCCACAAGACAACTTTTTATTGAATAATTTCCTAATAAGTTTGAGATGTACATTCTATTGATCTTGTACTATGATCATGTTTACAAATATAATATACAAAAACACTGTCATAGACAACTAAATTATTTTGGTTTTCGTTAAAAGCTTTTGTACTAAAAAAAAATCGCTTATTTTTTGGGATTTATGTGCATTACCGTCTAATTTATGTTGATTTGTTTTGAGTTGGTTGATATCTGATTAATCACCGTGATCCATACTAAAAATACAACCACATACACTACATTCCACCTTATATTCCTGGCCCATTTTTCGACATTTTTTTTATTAAGTTATGAATTCATTATGTAAATTTTCGTTAAAAGCACACTTTATTTTAGTCATAAATATTATTTTTACTATTAATTTAACTATTATCTCTTACAGTAGGTATGGTAGACAATAGATATTAAGATATACAAAGCATACGAAAACAGAAATATTTACATTTTACGCATGAAACACCGAGTGCTAACTAGTAACTAACGAAATTACTGTCATAACTAGGGAAATCGTGTACCTATATACAAACAATTATATACGTATAATTGATTGTGCTATAATGTTATATCTTATGCCGGTCAATCCTGACGACGTGATCATCGTCATCTCTATGCGAGCCGTGACCCATTTCGATAAAAAAAAACTTTATACTCGAATAATCAAATTCGATACATACAAATCGGTTACCATAATAACATGATAAAATTCGTATCATTTTGCAAATAGCTATACTTTAATTGACATTTAATGCGGAGAGATGAAAATTTAATTTTTTATTTTACGTCATTTTCTATACATATTTTTAAACACATTCATATCGTAATTAAACACATTAAAAAAACGGGATAATTTAGTATCCCGGAAGTTAGTCAGGACAACAGGACTGACATTTAAAATACGGTACTTTCTCGTGTAATACGGGATGTCTGGTCACCCTAGGTATTTGTTTCATATTGTGATGCAGACATTATAGTACCTCACAATAACGTCAGTCTTAATTTGTCTAATAATAATTAAAATAATCGTTTTACTGTAGATTCGTGTTTAAATAGTCAAATTTATATTACTTTTTTTCGAAATATTTTTATCATTTAGTTTTATGTATAACATGATACGTTTTGGTTTGGTCATATATTTTCGTTGAAAGTAGATAATAGTTGTTTTATCTTTTTAAATAATGTGAACCTCGTGAAAACTTTTGATTTTCAAAAACATTTAAATTTCGAAAATAATTGTCATAGTTAAATGAAAACTAAAATTACAAAAAATTAGATTTCCAATAACAAGTTTTAAATTATAATTATATGAGTATAAATTTCAAGCCAACAAAGATTCGTGGTTTTAATAATTTAATTAATAATTGGGGTTTTATTATTATATATTTATTAAATATGAACTGATACAGGTACTTATTTTTTTCTAAAATCGCATATATTTTGGACCTTTTAATGAATTTAATTTCCATTCCTCTCCTATTGCTTCTCTGCTATAAATTTGCAAATAGTACTAGTTAAGTATATAAATAAAAAATGTATAATTTGTTCGTAACCAGTAACTACCTACTTATTCATTTGAATATATGTATACATTATAAATAATATGTATATTAATTTTAATTGATTTTTTTAAAATTATACTTCATCAAATCCATTATTATATTATTGTAAGAGCACAATTACCATAATTATTACCACTTTAAGAAATACTGTAAAAAGAAAATTCGAAATTATATTATACACTAATAAATGAATGTAACATTGTAACTTGATTTTATAATCGAATTGTTGTACTATAGTGTATAAATTTACTAAAATTTCTCAAACAATTACCATAATAACCAATTATATAAACACGAAACCTTTATGGAAACATATAAAATTAATAATATAGTTTTTCGTTTTAAATAAAATATATTCCTAAAATTATTGGTCGTGGATAATTAATAATGAATATTTGATAATAATATTTTGTCTTTTATTATTTTTAATGTTGTTATTTTATTGTTTATAATATTCACGTGCAAGAAACTACTGCTTTAAAAATATTAAAGCATACTTAATTAATCATGCATGATCATATAATCACTCGTTAATTTAATTTTCAACTTGCGGTGTATCAACATTGGGCCATAGCCTGAGAATTAGCCTAATATCTGAGTTAAAATGTATCAACAATTGCATGACAAAGATGTTGATATTTATAATTCTTGTCAACTTAACAAACAGTATGGATCAACTAAGAAACAGTTACTACAGTTAAAGAAAGCTTTTGAAAAAATATCAAAGCTTAAATTTAAAAAAAAAATTATATTTACATTATTTCATTTTGGCTTTTATTAAACTTATATTAAAATAATATTAATCTTTTATATTATTACAATAAATATTTTGGATGATAATGATTAGTACCGACAATTTTTTTTTAGCCACATTAAAAAAGCACTTCTTGAAACAAAATTAATTAAAGGAATTGATTATCAAAAACTTTGAAGCTTTGAACTTTAATCCTTATATCCACCACTATTTTTAGTAAGTATAAAATTTGATTTTCTTGAAGGTTACTATTTTGGTCTAGATTAATTGAAATTAATCAAAAAATTAAACAGAAATGAATTAGTTAATATCATACTTTTCATGCATATTTTATGTGCGAGTATTAAATTTACCAATATTTGTACCTATTGGTCGAATTTTAAATTTGAAAATAAAAATATAAAAAACCCCGATATCAGTGTTAAGATAAAAAAATTGGAATATTTTAAATATTTTGTGACTTAATGATTATTATAAAACGTATATAGTATTAAAAACAAAAATGGTTTAATTAATATTATATATTAATTTTAAATTAATATTTATATATATTATTACTACACATAAATACATATATATATATATATAAGTATAGGGTAATAAAAATATAGACTGCTGATAGGGCTACAAATAGTTTTAATTATAATTTGATAGTAGCGTTAATATAATAGTAATAATAATAATAATAATAATAATAATAATAATTATATCGAGAAAGCTCGAAAAACTGGCTTATGAATAATTTCAATACACATTTATGACACGGACATTGTACACATGTGGGTGTGTTTATGTGTGTTTATTTGTAAAGGTATAGTCTAATAGTAAAAATGTATATAATTAATTAAGATAATATTTGCCTTCCTAATATTATACATAAAAAAAAAAGAAATAATATCGTATTATAAGAAATGGATAGTACACACAAAAGCATAAAAATAAAAATAAAATTGGCATAATATATAAATACGTTATAAAAATATGGTGAAAACTGTTTTTCGTATCCTTATGTTTTGATTATCATGTAATATTTTATAATAACATTAAATAAGCTCGATTTCTACAGTTGTTACAATATTGTAACACGGTGTTTTTTTTCGGTTACAGCAGTCTAAAAATTAAAAAAAAAAAAATGGTCAATAGTAACGCGCGATACTATTAGTAGGTAGTAGTACTCGGTCGCACATCGACGCTACATTTTAACCCTATTCTAGAAATTAATAATTAAAATTATAATAATATAGTATGAAAAAAAAAATAATAATAATAACAAAAGCGTTATCCCCTTTTTAAATGTATTTACAACATGTAGTAAAATAAATATTATTATTCTATTATTATTAAATTTGTAGACCCACGGATGGAAAATTATAACATTCAAATATACCATATTGGTATTATAATATAAAGATAATTAATAAATAATCGTTAAATTTATTGTAAAAGAAAAAACTTCACCGCAGTCGGAATAATATGTGATACAAGCAATTAATGTTTTTTTTTATTTTTTAATTTTTGCTCACGACATTTACGACAATCGCGTGTGTAGGTATATAGGCGTGACGCGTATACTTACGTGTAGAAAATATACTCCCATTAAATAAAAAAAAAAGTACTATATGCGAGTGCGTGTGTGCGTATAATATGGGTATTAGTGTATAGGGATTGATTTAGTTTTCAATCCAACACATTATTTGCGATAAAACCTGGAAAGTGACTAAAAACTTTAGGTTCAGCAAACGAAAAAAAAAAATTAAACATTTTTAAATGTAGAATTAATAACAATTTAAACTCACCGAGGAACTATGTTTTAATCTGTTAACTTTCAACTGCCAATATTTTTTTAAATTTGTTTTTTTGTTTTTACGGGAAAATACGTGATATAACAAATGTTAAGGACCCGGAAAATCCGGTACTACATTTATGGCGGTATAATAATAACAAAAATTCAGCTACACAACGTGCTACGGGGATGAACGACACGAATATAAAAATAATAATAATTACAAGACGATGCGAAAAACGTCAAGAGGACGGACGTCTCTGAATCATATAGTATCATGTTAGTGTATATATATTTTCTGACAGAGACATTTGTTATGCGAATATTAGACAAATAAAAAAAAATCAGGAAAAATTTAAAGTAAATGAAATATTTATGAGGACGGGGGTCATGTCAGTAAGCCACGGGATGCCGTGTACCCTGCAGTAAATAGGTGAGTAAGAAAGGTGAGTAAATATAATCGAGTATGTCTATGGTTTTTGATACTGAAATTATGAAATAATTTTTTATTTTTATCTCCGTTTCCCCGGCGGCACCCGTCAATCAAGAGGGAAAAAAAGGCTCGAGACTGGAGTTTTAAAGGGGCAGGGCGCGTATATTAATATACATATAGTGTATCCGTTCGATTCAATCGATATTGTTATCGATCCGAACCCAGCCTGACAATCAAACTCGGTTACGTTTGTGGTGCACACGGACAGTAAAGCGATCCTGTTGCGCCTTGTACATTTTAATATTATAATATAATAGTTGTATTGATGTAATTGTTGTTGTTGTTGTGGATGTTGTTGTCCGACATCGTGGTCGAGGTTCGCGCCTGGTGGTGGTGACGCTCGCGGACTTTGTGCTGCTGTCTAACAAATGAAAGCCGCGACCATTGCGGTGACGGTTAACGCAACAGTGGTGGTAGCGGTGCAGTACTGACTCACGCCGGAGCTCCCGACCGACGATTCTGCAAAAAGACAAAAACTTATATCACATCGTCTTTCGAAAGAAAAAAAAATAATACATGTAAACATAAAAGGTATTACAAAGGTTATTTAAATACCGTTGAAGGCAACTACTTCAGTAGCCGTATTGAAAAAAGCTTAATTTGATCTGTGTGAAACATATAATATGCACCAAACATGGGATAAGTATAGAGAAGTAAATACTTCACTTACATTTCATCAAATAAAAATTTACAAAGTTCAAACGTGTGTTTTTTAACGTTCGATTTTTATTACGATGAAAAAAACTCAACGGATTAAATAATTTTTGTTTCATGGTATTTTCAATCTTTTATTTTATAAAAGGGTAAGGCAATATAATATGTGCGAGGAAAGTTTTTTTGAAAATCAAATTCCTAAAATGGGGTTTACTCGTTTCGATTTTATATTGAAAGTTTAGGTAGTTCCACAAAAAAATGTCAAATATTTATATTATCTCCCTTTATTTGTAGGTATGTTACATTTAATATACGTCCTTTAAGAAATTTATTAAATGTAATATTTATATTACTTATGAATACTCTTCAACTTGTCATTATTAGTTTTTAGACATGTATAAAGTGTACATAAACATGCATGAACTATACGAGTATATTATGTATCTTATATAATAGTTGATAAGAAAAGTATCAATATATAGTGTGGGTCACAGTGTATTTTATTTTTTTGATTTGTTTAGTGTACTTATCAGAAAAATAATGATTGTCCGTCCTATATGCTTAGATATGCTATAATATTGATTTTCATTCATAAAATCCAATAGTTATTAATAAAAAAAAAAACTCAAATTTATAACTGAAAAAAATAATTTATCGAGAAAATAACTATTTAATCTTAATTAAGAAAATAATTCTGCACTGTGAAACCGTAAACTCGAATTATAATATACGCTATTCAGATATATTATAACCGTGAAATAATTTGTTACCTTGATTTAAGCCTGACGTTTTATTAACCGCTATAAAATTAATTCAAGATAAGCGTTTTATAAAAATTCTAGTTTTCTAACAGTTTAATTATTATCTAACTAATTAGTAGGACAATAAATATGGTTGTTGTGTTAGGTATAAACCTGTCTTTATAATTTAAAATAATTTAATTTTAATTTTATTGGTAAATCATACATTCACTTAATATTGATATTTGACGTAAATAACATTTACAGAGATTGATGGCAAATGGTTATTGAATTGCCTTGAAGGAAAACAACTGAGTAAATATCAAATAAACAAGTGACCATAGATCGATATGAACAATGCAATAAAATACGACAGAATCTTCCTTTTGCAACCTTGAATTATTATTTTATAATTTATTGATATCATAAATTAGAAATGGATTCCATGTTTAAATATTCAATTTGAACAGTAAATATTAGTTAAATGTACAATTAAGAAAAATATATCAAATCATAGATTAATTAACTGTAATATTCAGTTAGGATAAAAAGGTCTAAATATGTAAAATTATACAAATGCATATAAATTATATCCATACTAATTTGCATCAAGTACCTAACGATTAATAATTTGGACCTTAAATTATTATTATACATAATAATGTATAATACGAAATGTTCAAACCAAATAAAAATTACTCTGTATGCCGACTGAAATAGTGTTAAATTGTTTATACTTAAATTCTTATGCTAATTATTTTATCATTAAAAAAATTTAAGTAAAATTAAGGAAATTTAATTTTTTTAATGCTTGTCCAGTAAATGTAGGTGGTTGTATTTCATTGTATTTCAACTATTATAAAATTTTTACGACCTAGTGAAATTTTTTTTATGCACTTTTATTCGACTATGAGTAAACTCTATAGGTAAAATGAAATAGGTGCGCATATTTCACAGTAAAATGAAGTAGTATCAAAGAAACATATATATGAGACGAATAATAATATTCTCTTACAGTTATTTGATAATAAACTGTCAATTAACTTAACTTTTCGTTGACCTTTAGCCTACAGTGTTACTCAGCTGAAAATAAATAAGATGTACCACTACGATAGATAAAAACTTGAAATGGCTCCGGGACGACTAACAATAAATATTTTTTAGGGGTTTTATTTAGTCAATTTCGATGATTAAGAAAATTAATAAAAAAAAATACATAATTTTTTTTTTAATACTGAGCTTATTTAAAAATGCCATTTCTAAATTTGAAGATAATTCTCGATTGCAGATACGAAATTATTTCAAAAGCATATTTTCGACGTAATTCATCGACAGTGGCCAGTAAAATGATTGTAGACAGTTCTTTTTTTTTTTTTGGAAATAACCATTACATTACTTATGACTTGTGTTATGATATACATTTATATTAGATGATCATAAAAAGTATAAATCTATGAAATATGTTTCATTGACTTAAAAATATTAACATTATTACATTTTTAATATAAAATAGATTTATAATAAAAAAAGTGTCGCTCTTAACACAGATTAATTTCACCTCTTTTGGACAAAGTAATAACTATTATTCTACAACTACTCAAATCGACAAATTTATATCGCTAATTATATTGGCCAAAAGCTTATTACCTTTGTTCCTTCTCTTTTTTTATATATGTAAAAAAATCAATGTATTATTTACTTTTTAATGATTTGTAAAAAAAAAAAAAAAACATTCATTCTAAACTTGTCCTGGACTAGTATAAGTTAATATGACCACCATTAGAGTGCAGAAAACTAGTTTTGACAAAATGCAAAAATTCAAAAATGCAATTAGAATAGTATGGGCGCAACGGTACTCACTCAATACTTGGTCATCCTTACGTTGACCATTTTGCTGAGCTATTTCGTTAGCATCTTGTTCTTCGTCCATTCCACCTATAAACATGTGTATATTGGCGTGAACTATGTGCGAGCAGTTATAGCGAAGTTATAATAATAATAATAATAATAATAATAA